AATATGCGCGACGTCACTCGCGCGAAGGTGACATGGGGGCTCGGTGATCAGTTGAGGGGCGCTAATTCACAAAATATGGTGATATTTTGACCGTGATTTCTTTTTTTGGGGGGAGGGGGGCGCGAGTAATTTTTGGGAGGCGTGCGCTCCCTGCGCCCTCCCCTAGATACACCACTGATGTTTGTGTGTGTGTCATGTTTTGGTGTTTTTGTGTGTACGACATACAGTATCTCAAAAACGGCTGCACAGACATAACTGAAAATTACAGGGAATGTTAGTTACGTTTAACCCAATGAAGAAATTTTGGTGATGATCCAGAGTAGGGTGTGGATGTGAGGGCCATTTAAAGGGATTTTAGAGCAAACATCCTAGACAACGTATCTCAAAAAATAATTAACTGATATGAATGAAACTTCACCAAGTTACAAGGAAGAAATTATCGAGCATTGGTCACGATCCAAATTTGGGGGTGAACATGAGTGTTATTAAAATTTTTAAGGTCATGCATGTTTCTTGTGTTCAAAATATCTCAGCTGCAGAGATTGTCAGGTATGACCCAAGGATGAGGTGATTAAATTTTGAATATTTATATTCATATGATGAATATTAAAATTAGTGCAATTAGAGTAAAGATGTACAGCATTTTATATGTACTAACTTCACATTTTTCGGAACTTATTGGGAACATTTTTAATTCATCTTTACATTTAAACATGTGATGCTAAAATGCAAATCCCCATATTTCTATTTCCAAAATATTTCCATTTTAACACCAATACATTGTAAGTATTTTGTTTTTTAGCTATAAGAGTAAAACTTGCCAGTAGGTAAGTCAGATGTCAGGAATTGGTAGGTGTACAAGTGATACAATAAAAGGCATTTGAAAAGTAAAGTGATTTATTCGATTATGGCCATTCTAAGCAATTCGTCACAGATCAGATATCTCAAAAACTAAACAACTCTTCTATGAAACTTTGGTGATTGTGGTTGGAAAGTACATGTTTGAGAGGAATTTTTAATAGAAAGAGATTGGCGGTGGGTGGAGATATGCTCTCTACTAAGTGATCTTGTCCTTTATGTTTTCATTCTTAACAGCCAAATACCAAGGAACAGTAAAATTACTAGTGTAATTTCACTGTTCCCTGCAATACGAAATTATGAAAATTATGTTTAATCCAAATAACAGGTTTTTTGCTAATAAATATTTTCCTGGTAATTAAAAAAAAACATTCCATTACATCTACTTGAATAGAAAAATATTTATTCTGAGTGATACAAGCCAAATTCAACTCTCCTCCACATATACAATATGGTATTGATTGAGTTTTCCTGATTTTGCCAAATTTTACCAAAACTGGCTTTTTTTTATTAAGTAAAATTAAGTATATTTTTATCAACTTAAGTATAAGAATTAAAAAAATATATATTTTTTTGTGATTGTTAATGTCAATTTAGCTCATTTGCCATGATTAAATGAACTAAAACATTTTATTGCTTTGAAAATATAAAAAAAATTGTAAAAAGTATGTGTTCTGCCATAAAAACTAATAAAATAAATATTATACCAGTAATTTTTGGAGAAAATGTTTTATTACAGCTAATAGAAATATATGTTATCTGAGTAATATGAGACCAAACTCAACTACCCTGAACAATAATTAACAAAGTCGCCTGGTTTTTTTTAAATCCAATTTTGTAATCCAATTTAATATTTATACATAATTTATTGGAGCTTTTTATTTAAATATGTTTTATTTGTCATTATTGTCACTTTAGCTATCACTTGTTGGCTCTGAAAACATGAAAATTATTTAAAAACAGGTTTTTTGGTCAAAAATGGCGGTTTTTAGTAATCACTTTTTTCCTGTTATTTTGGGGGGAAAATGTTCTATTATAGCTAACAGAAACATGAACCTTCCAAAAAGTTTGTTACCAAATTAACTCTGTATGACTAATAACATACAGATTTTTCCCAAAAAATGAATATTTTTGCATAAAAGCAGCCACCTTGGCCCTTAGATGGAAGAATTTTGCTTGGGATCCACCAGATTCATAATCAGCCAAAGGTAAAAATTAAATCTACTAAGTTTTGTTCACTGTTTTGTCATATTATCATATTAAAATTAAATTAAATTAAAATTAAATGATAATTGAATTATCATTTTGGGATGTGTAACCTGTCTAACAGGAGTGGAGCTAAGATGCTTGCCTTTATATTCCAATCCCAGGGTCCTGGGATTAATTCCTGTCATAGTAACAGGATTTGTTCTCATGACTAAAACATTTGTGTGTCTCCTGACGGGATTGAATTAACAACTCTACTAAACTATATCAATTTGAATTATGCAAACATTTATATAATAAAAATTATACAATTTACTACTCGATATTTTTAGAATGTGTGTTTTATTATATAATATATATATTTAATCTTTATTTCTATCTTATTATTTTATCAGAATATTTTTCTCTTACAAAATTATAATGGTCATTTGGAATTTAATAATAATTAGAAAATCTCTTAATATAGTTTTGTTCATTATTTTGTCATATTAATCATATTATGACATAAATGAAATAATTTTATTATTTTGGATTCTCCAATTGTATTACCGTGTTATTTATATTAATTTTCAATTAAAAAACCTTATTTTATGAAACCTTTTAAAATTTATTTTAAAATAATTTGAATTTTTGTGTTGTAATATTAAAATTATAATGCAATTTT